GGGTTGCAACGGGGCCACGAAGGGCAGCGATGGGGGGGGCAACGAAGGGCTGCACCCGATTCCTAAATAACGTGTGAGGGAGTCATAGGCGTGAGCGCGACTCCTGAGCGCCTGAGTGTTGGGAGCGCGGCGCTTGAATACATTGCGGGAAATTCCAACCCAAGGGCGTTATTTTTGAGTAACTTGCAACCGCGTCTCCAGCGAGAGCGCGACCCCAGAGCGCCGAGAGAGCGATTCCTGAATCAAGTCTAAGGAAGTCCCAAGCGAGAGCGCGACTCCTGAATACAACGCGAGGAAGTCTCAGGCGGGAACGGGGGTCCAGGCTAAATTGTGAGGAAGTCTAAAGCGGGAACCGTTGTTGTTGTAACCCGGGGGCCAGGGGCACAGCTTGAGCCTCAAGCTTTTCCCTGATAAAAAACCGGGTGCGAGCGCCAGGAGGGGCTTTTCAATTGAAAAATAGCATGCACCGGTGAGGGGGGGATCAACAGTAAATTCTTCAGAAATGAGAGGTGAACAACAAGAACGGCTCCCGCCCGATGGCCCTCACAATATATTCCCACTTCGCGCTCTCGCGCGGCATCTTCAACATTTGTACACGAATCGCGCTCTCGCGTGAGACCTCCTCGCAATTTATTTAGACGCCGCGCCCTCGACACTCATGAATCACGCTCTCGCTTTTTGGTCTTTCTCACGATGTACTTGGGAGATCCGGCTATCGCTCGACACTTCCTCGCGATCCATGCAGAGCTCACGCTTCAGCAGCACGCCTGTTCGACCTGGCCGCCTGGGTCCGCCTTCCCGACCTGCCCGTTAGGGTCTACCCGCTTGATGGGCCCATTTGGTTTTGCCACGGGTTTTTGTTGCCTCTCCTTCGAATCCCGTATTTCATCTTTCTCCCTCTCCCTTTCCATTCGTCCTGTCTTTCCTTTGTTGTTCAGGGGTTGCACCAATCAAGCGCGACAGGTAAGGAAGATACACCCCCAGGGGTGTACGATCGAAGCCGAACAGGGCGGGTATCGAAGGTTTGGCATATGCGTTTTGAATGGCACGCGAGCTGGTAAGAAGAATGAGTCTTAAAATGACTATTGTTGTCGTCGTTGTCGTTGTTGTCGTCGTTGTCGTTGTTGCCGTTGTCGTCGTCGTCGTCGAGGTCGTCGTCGTCGTCGTCGTCGTCGTCGTCGTCGTTGTTGTTGTTGTCAGCGAATTATATATGTAGCTCAGAACGTGTCCAGGGTGTCTGGGGACGACCGTCAGGACTCTGTAGGCGATTGTATGGGTGAATTGCCGAGTCCCGACGACGCATATGACGCCGACGAGGAAGCCGCCGCTTTCCTCGGACACGAAGTGGTGTAGATATAGTATGCATGTTCAAACCAGCTTGTACTAGCCGCTCGATTCCCATGCCGCCTGCTATGCCGCTCGAGCCCCAGGCCGCACCAGCGCTTCGCGACACATACGGAAGGCACAGTCCTCCCGTGCAGCGGGATTTCTTCCGAATGGCATAGTGCCATCGTTTTTGTCACAACGGATTGCAGCCCAATGCGATCGAGGTTTGTACTCATCCCTGATGCTGACGTATAATAAAAGTTGTTGTTGTTGTTGTTGTTGTTGTTGTTGTTGTTGTTGTTGTTGTTGTTGTTGTGATTGTGATTTTCATTGTTATTGTTGTTGCTAGTGGTGGTGATGTTGAACCCTCATTCTTAAATTGCTCCTTTCCACCGGTGCACATTGCATTTCTTATCTTGAAGTGCCCCCTTCGGTGCTCGCACCACATCTTCTATTTGGGAACGTGTTCGTGCTCACGCTGGGCCCCTGGCCCCCCGGCTGCAACAACAACGGCTCCCGCTTGATCTTTCCCCACAAGTTGTTCCGAAATCGCGTTCTCGCTCGGGAGACCCTCAGAATATATGCAGGAATCGCGCTCTCGCGTGGGACTTCCTCGTAGTTTATTGAGACGCCGCGCCCTCAACACTCAGGAATCACTCTCTCGCTTTGGCTTTTTCTCACGATGTGCTTGGGAGATCTGGCTATCGCTCGGCACTTCCTCGCGATTCAAGTAGGACCCACCCTTCCGCAACCCGCCTGCTCGACCTGGCCGCCTGGGCCCGCCTTCCGCCCGATAGGGTCTGCCCTCCCGAATTGCCCGTCTGGTTCTACCACGTGTTTTCTGGTTTTCTGTTCCCAGCCCCCCTCCTGATAATTTCTCTGGTGCTCCATCCTTCTCCACCCCCTTTCCATCCGTCCTCTGTGCCCCTGTTCTATAGGGGCTTCACAACATTCACGTGGCAGGTATGGAAGATATATCCCCAAAGGGGGTACGATCGAAGACGAAGAAGGTGGGTACCGAGGATTTTGGAATACACGTGTTGGATGGCACGCGAGCAGATAGGAGCGAACAGTCTTAAACATAGTGTTTGTGTTGGTGGTGTTGCTGGTGTTGCTGTTGTCGGTGTTGCTGTCGGTGGTGTTGTTGGTGGTGGTGTTGTTGGTTGTGTTGGTGTTGTTGTTGTTGGTGGTGGTGGTGGTGTTGGTGCTGTTGTTGTTGGTGGTGGTGTTGATGGTGTAGTAGGTGTTGCTGCTGTTGGTATTGTTGCTGGTGTTACTGTTGGTGGTGCTGTTGTTGTTGCTGCTGTTGCTGTGGCTTTTGCTGACATTTCACTGTGTGCGTGTTGGGGTGTGTCGCTGTGAGGGGGTTCAAGTGGACTGTAGGGTTCTCGTTGAGTTCTTTCGGGACCCTCTTATTCTGTCTCTGGAGGGTATTCGGGGACCTCTTTGGGGCTCCTCTGGGTGGTCTCGGGGCTCTCGTGTGGCCCTCCTAAGGGCCTTTGCGCGCCCTGGAGGGCCTCTTGGGGCCACATTAGACGGCGTCGATCAAACGTGGGGGAGTTCTTGTTCCTCCTCCTTTTCTGATGCCATCAGCATCGCCTCGTGGTGCGCCCTAGGGGTGCTCGTTGGCGGTTTGGGAGCCTCCTGGGCACCCCGTGGTGCTCTTTTTGGCAATGTGTGGATCATCTCGAGGCCTCGCAGCCACATCGGCTCGAACAGGCGAGACGGAACACATTGGTGATGCTTCTTGAAGGTTTGAAGCAGTGTGGCTTACCTGAGGAGTCCTGAGCGGGCGCCGAGAGCATTAGGAGCCGTCTTGCGGTCCTTTCGGGGCCTCTTGGAGCCATGTCGGAAGCCATCCTGAGCCATCTTCGTCTATATTGAGCCCCTCTTGGGGGTCATCTTGGAGCATCGGGTGCCCTCTTGGAGCCATCTTGGGCGCTCCGACTGCTCACGACCCCCCGCCCCAAAACACCTCAGGGAGGAGGGGTGGAGGCAGGGTCCCCTTCCCAAAGGGAAGAGGGGCTTTGGAATCAAGAATGATAGTGTCCTTAGACCACCTGCGCCCAGAAGGCTGGTGGGATGGTCGCCACGTTCGACTGCTCCTGGGGGGTCTAGCGCAGTGCCGTGCTACGAATATTCAATTGAGCTGTCGCCCTCCCTGTGTGCTGCCAGCTGCGCGACAGTCGCCTCTTTTGCGCCCTCCTTCCAGGTGTACGAAGTGCGGTGCTCTGCGAATCCAAATGACACCTCGCCTTCATCGGGTGTTGCCCAATGCACAATTGTCGCTATTGCCGTGAGCTCAAGGAGGGTGTACCCCAGTGCGGTTCTACGCTGATCCAAACAAGAGTTCGCCACGGTCTAGAGGAGGGAGGTACTACGCAGATTCCATCGGGACCTCGCCCTCCTGGGAGGTGTTACCACCTGTGCAACTATTGCCATGAACGTGAGCCCACTGGGGATCAGCGCGCTGTGGTGCTACGCGGATCCCACCGAGACCTCGCACTCTCCACGCGAGGCGTTCGACAAGGACCTTGGCACCGAGGATCGACGGAGTCGCCATCTCTTCCGCGGCGGAAGACTGTGGAAGGTGGCGGAAATAAAACGGCGGCTGCGCCAGCGGAAGCTATGCCTAAGCCAGCGGAAGCTAAAGTCGACCCCCCCAGAGTCGGGTCGCCAGCGATGGGGGGTCACGCAAATGGGGGGTCTGCGCACGTATCCCAAACAGAGCAATCGGAAATGGAGGCCCTGCTCGCAATGTGTGCGACGCTCGGTATGCCCGCAGGATGTCTGACGGTGGTTCTCCCAAGCTCGAGGCGCGATTGCTAATGTCGCCAGATAATTGCCGTCTGCGCACCGCACGAACGCCACCTGGTCAGACATTTGGATGCGCGAAACTGGCTGGCGGCCAAGAGTTGCAATGCATGAAAGTGTCCGGAAAGTGCTCCTAAACTGCCCCAGTGGGTCAAAAGGTGGCTCGAAAGTGTCCTGAAAGGGGCCCAGTGCTGCATTGCACGAAATGGAGGACATCGAAATGGTCATCCACGTTTTGCTGCGCGCAGCGGGAGCGAGCGCGGCCCGCGTGCCGCCGCGTAACCCCTCGGGTTGGGGCCGGTCAGAGAAGAGCTCTCTGTGGCCCACATAGAACTCACCGCGGCGTTCACCACGCAGCGAAAGGCGGGCTGGACACGACACGTGCTACAGTCAACCCGCATAATAAGGATGGGCAACCTTCCCAAGGGTACCCTTGCATCCTTGCCTCCTCGGTCCCTCCTTGGCAATTTTCACCGGGCGCGCCCCGCTCGAGAAGCTTCGACATGGGCATCCAAGGCCCTTGCATCCCATCGCGCATCCTTCTGGTACGGGCCGACTGCACCGTCCCGGGCCGGCGAAGCTGCGCCTACGGCGCCGCCGACGGTCTCGGCGGTGCGCGGACGTGGTGCGCTGCCTTTGAGCTCCGTGGGCGCCCCCGCGGGTGATGACAAGGGGTGGGGGGGGGATATCATGGCGCGGGCCATGATAGTTCCCCAGATTTCATGGCGCCTCCTGTTATTTCATTACGTCCCTGGCCCCCCCCCTGGGCCGCGTACAAGCCGCTGGCCATGATTTGCGCCCCCTCCTCTTGGACGCCCCCCTCTTGGCCGACCCCGAGCGGGCCGCGCGCGCGCGCGGAGGCCCCCGCGCTACCGCCCGACGCGGAAGCGCCAGAGCGGCGCGGACGGTGACGCCGGGCGCGAGGAGTCGGCCGCCAAGGTGCGCGGAGCTCCGCTGGCCACGGTCGTCGTCGTCGTCGTCGTCGTCGTCGTCGTTGTCGTCGTCGTTGGTGTCGGTGTCGTTGCCGTGGTCGTAGTTGCCGTCGTAGTTGCCGTCGTCGTTGCCGTCGTCGTCGCCGTCGTCGTCGTCGTAGTTGCGTTCGTGTCGTTGCCGTCGTCGTCGTCGCTGCCGCCATCGCCTTCGTCGTCGGCGCCGTCGCCTTCGGTGCGCCGAGGCCGTCTTCACCGCCGCCGTCCCCCCTGACACCTGGGCGCCATGGCACGCAAGAGAAGCACGACGGCCTTGCCGCTCCGCTTCTGCGCCAAGCGGCTCGGAGGCTGCCCGGCCGGCCTCGTCGCCAATGCTGGACGCGGCTCGGGAAGCGGGTCTGGGGCAGGGTCTGACGAGGCTAGGTCGACGGGGTTAGGTCGAGGATTATATATATATATATAGAAAGCGTTCCTGAGGTTTCCAGGACGCTCTCAGGGCGTCACAGAGAGCTCTGAGAGGGCCGCGGCGTCTGAGATATCCTCCAGAGCCGCCAGATCTCAGAGATTCTCGATCTATCTTCGCCCAAGCTTTTCCTCGTCCTGGCTTCGTCTTAGTGGACCGATGTTGGATGGAGTTTCTTCACGGGCGGGCCCGTGGCACCCGAGCGCCGTGACAGGTCCTCGCATCGTTTTTCGGGCGCGCGTTCATTAGGGGGGCGCGTGCTTCTCGGTGCGCTTTGTGGTAGTGCGGAGGAATCGAGCGGCCGCGCAAAAGTGCTACACGGCAAGAGCCGGCCGAGGTGTCCTGGAAACTCGGACATACGCTGCCGTCGCTGCGTTTTCGACTTTGTGCGCCTTCTCGGACGCCCTCGTGGCCCCCTTATGATTCGCCTCGAAATTCTGATCAGCACGCCCCCTAGGTACATGTTGGTTTCCCTGAGAGACAGCTGTATGTGTTGACTCGTCGTCTGGAGGTTGTCCGTTCAAGCTTCTGTCTCGAAGCGGCAATTTATTTTCGGTTATTCACTGCATTATGCCCCAGTTCCTGGTGTAGCCAATTGGCATGTCGCTGAGTTGTCTTCAGTTGCCCGAAATCGCGTCCCCATACCGCTGGAAATGAAAACGCCAGGAGGCAGGCAAAGTTCGCGAATTTGAATCCGGTACGGCCTGCCTACCCGCAGGGCGACGTCTGCCAGAAAATGTGTGAGGATGTCGAACAGTCGACCTTGAACCTTCGCTGATGCCACGATCCCGCTAATACGGGGCGGTGATTTGCGGATGCCCCGCGCGGAACGCATCCGTGCGCCCGCGTATCCGCAGGATCGCGCCCTTGAATCAAAACCGCGAGGGCGCGGACACGGACATGTGCGGCAGCAAACCTAAAGTGTCCTCGCAGCTCCGCCTCCGGGAGTGCTTCGAGGAGCAGCTCGGGGTGCTGCTCGTGACGAACTGCGCTGCACGCTCGCGATGCTCGGGGGAAGGCGGTGGTTAAGATCGACGCGGTCGGGCGACACTCAGGCGATCGCAAACATGGATTCAGGGGGCGTGGATTAGAGACGGGTCCCGTTTCCACGGTGAATCGCGGATTTCCGCCGCCGAACATGGCGGCACCAGCCGCATTTTCGGGAGGGCACCTCCCACGATCCATGGATTTGGCGATTGCGCGCCAAATCCATGGATCCATGGTTGCGCGCCCCCGAGACACGTTGACGAAGGCCCCGGGAAGGGGGACGGAGAAGACCCGCTCGGCAGCGAAGGCTCGGGAGGCCGAGGCGGGGCCGGCCGAGGCGCCAGCAGGGAGCTGGGCTCGCAGCAGGGTGGCGGGTGGCGGCGGCGAGCTTCCCAGAGATCCGACGCATTGAAACAATCAAGGCGGACGTTTTTCGCCCTTTTTGGCCTCCAGGGGCCCTCGCCCGGCCCCAGGAAGGTCAAAACATGATTCAGAATGAAAAAGCGGTCCCGGGGGTGTGGTCTGGACCTCCAGGGACCCCGTATTGAAACAATCACGACGTCGGATCTCTGGGTTTCTGAGCGCCTTCAGAGAAGTTCTTTTGCGCATTTTCGGGAAAGGCTTCCGCCGGTTTGGGCCATGATGCCGGACCTGGTCAGACGCCGGACCTGGTTTTGGTTTTGGCCCTGACGCCGGACCTGGTCAGACGTCGTCGCGATGCGGCCGGGCCGTGCCAGACCTCACCGTGGTGCCCCCCGGCAGCGTTGGCTTTTGCAGACTGCCATTCGGGGCGTTCGAATCCAATTGGCGGAGGTCCGCGATTGCCCGCTGGGGCAAAAAACAGGGGAACGAATTATTGCATAAACATAGAAACTCGGAGGTCCGCGCGGGTTTCTCGGATCGGTGCTGGACCCTCCTCCCTGGCGCGCGGAGCGCGCCAGGGGCGGCGCCGGAGGCGCCGCCGGATACGCGCTGACCCCCTCGAGGGGTCAGCGCGTATCCGAGAAATCCGCGCGGACCTCCGAGTTGCTATGTGTATGTAGTTCTTCGTTCCCCTGACCGAACTCTCGAGTGACGTCCCGCCGATCGTGGATTCGGCGCGGCAGTGCTGGCTTGCGCAGTTGCGTTCGCCCCCATTGGGCGCTCGCGCACCAAGTGTCGCTCTAGCCTACAGCGGGTGCCCATGCCAAGAAAAACCCTGCTTGCCTCCAGAGTGCCCTGGGTTTCTTGGGTTTCGATGGTTTTGCCATGGAGAGCGTGCCGTTCTCACGCCAAAAATCAATGGACGTCTGGGGTCTCAGGTTTGGGTTTCTTGTGGACTGTCCTCCACTGTACGGTCACTCCTTCGTGTAGTCGATCTCAGAAGGCTCGGAAGTTCTTTGGTCTTCTCAGAATGTGTCTAAGCCTTCCCCGAAGACACCAAGAAATCTCAAGTCCCGCAACCTTCTGAGAAGGCACTCTCCTCATTTCCCCTCTCGCTCGCCGCCGAGGGCAGGGAGGAGTCATGAAGGGCGACGTATCCGTACCCGCTCCCTCGCAAGTTGGATTGCTGGGGCGCGATTCCGCGGAAACGTGGGCGCACGGAAAGGTTCCGCGCAGGGGAAGATCCCGAGCAGCTTCCGAGCAGAGAGCTGAATGCCGAGATTGATCCGACAAGGAGCTCCTCGTGCCCGCACCCCAGTCCAGGTTAAATGCTATGCCTCGTGTTTTGTTTCTCGCCGTTATCTTTTTTGTTCTCTCTCTCTCTCTTTCTCTTGCCTGTACAGAGCGGTCGCGCTTGACCAGATTGTCCTTGCTATCTCTCTGAACGCTTCAAGGAGCCAGACGTACGAGAGTTTTGACGAGTGCGGAAGCCCACCTCGCTTCGTGCGTCGTTGGTGCACCATGTAATTTTGGTTTAGCGCTGTTTCTAGTGTTGCAGGGTGAAGCTATGTGCGAGGGCACAGAGTGAATGGATATGTGACTGCTATCAGATTCGCTGAAATTCCGAACACCCCATTGCTATCGGTTGTGTTGCCACACCTGTCAAAAAACATGCGAAGGCAAAATGCACGTTGTTTATACAATGCAAGGGATGGTGGAGGGGATGTCGGCACTGCGCACAGCTGGCAATATGCCAGCAATTTGCCGTCCCTGCCAATAACAAAGTGAAGTGATCGCGAGACGTCCGCGCAAGATTCAGATTTTGGTGCAACGTGCACCTGGTATTGTTTTGAGCAAGGGATGGCGGGGGGCGCTGGCATGGCACACTGCAGGCAATACACCGGCCCCCCGCCGTCTTTGTCAAAAGCAAATGCGAAGCGATCTTTGGGCGTCCGCGGGTGGTCCAGACATTGGCGCAACAATGTTTTGTTTTCGTTTTGTTTTGAAAGTCCTGGGTACGTCGCTGGTCGGGTGTGGAAGGGGGTGCATTGAAGAAGGAATTATTAATACACCTTTCCCCGAAGGGGAACGGGGAAGATGGAAGAGGAAACCAGCTAAACGAATCACGTCCAGAGGGCTGGTGGGATTTTTCACAGCGCGACCCCCATGCCAGGCCCAGCTCTCGCAAGGAATAGACAGCTGTTTGGTCGACCCGGGGCCCGAGAGCGGCCCGGGGACAGCACCGTGTCCGCCGGGCCTGGAGGTGGAGTTCCCTGCCCACCCCCCCCTGGGGGGTGCGCACGTGGCACGTCAACCCCCATCCCGGCCAGGCGCACCCTGCGCTCACCGAGCGCGTTCCTTTACTCGCAAAGTGCCTACTCGTAGACGTCTGGGAAAACACACGTCTGTTTCGATGTAATTTCTAGTAGATCCCTCTTGGCGGACCCAGGCCATTTGCGAGTAGCTACTCTGTGAGTAGCGGAACGCGCTCGTCTATGCGCCCAGGATTAGTGTACAGACGAGTTTGATCACCAGGTCGGCCTTGCCAAGGCAAGGTTGCCCGTGAGTCCCGTGTTTCGCGACCCGTGTCTGCAGCATTCTTGTGCCGATGCTGCCCTCGGAAGGGTTTTGTGCCTTCTCGCTTGCCTTCTCCAATCGAGCTCCAGTGCGTACACCTCCCCTCCCCGGAACACAGCGTATACAGTCCACCCGCATAGTAAGGATGGGCAACCTTCCCAAGGATACCCCATGCATCCTTGCCTCCTCGGCCCGTCCTTGGCCACTTTCGTTGGCCGCGCCCTGCCCGAGAAGCTTCGAGATTGGCCTTCCGAAGCCCTTGCATCCTTACCGCGCATCCTTATACGGGCCGACTGTACACCGATCCTGAGCCCAGGAGGGGCCCGGCCAAGGCTGGCGTCGGTGCTCGGCCGGCGCGCCTTCCGGGCCCCTCCTCGGGACTCTAGAGACGGAGACGGCGGGGGTTGGCCAGAGCGCCGGATTTTGTAGGATCCTGCAGGGCCAGGGTCGCACCGACCCAGGCTCGGGTGCCGGATCCTGCAGGCTCCTCGGCGTTGAGCCGTGCTTGGGTACAGGATCTTGCAGGATGTTGCAGGAGTCTACAAGGCCTGACTGACTCGGGTCTGGATCGACCCGGGTCAGAAGATCGGGC